AGCAGATCAGTGGTTTCTGAAGATGGGTGGGTAGGGAGGGAGAGATTACAAAAGGCACAAGAAAATCTTTAATTTCCTAGGCATAAACATGTATCAAATTGCACATGTTAAATATGTGTGGTTTAGCCTTCAATAAGGCTGTTTTTTAAAAAATGTTAATAGGTACTCAAAACTCATCCTTCTCCAATGATTTCACTACATCTTACTGTTATCTGTGGTTATTTACATCTACTGTATCTAAATGGTGGAAACAGATACAATGGCGTGCTACTGCACCTCTTTTCCCAACTTCACATTCAGAGACATCATGTTGCAGCTTCAAATTGGCTGCATGGTAAACATTGCAACTCAGAGTTTGGTTTACTGTTTCATTGGCTGTGAAGATTTAAGAAAGTAGAGAGTATGTTAATAATTCAGATTTAATTTAAAAATGTGGGGGCTGGCCTGGTGGTATAGTAGTTAAATGTGCACACTCTACTTTGGTGGCCCAGGGTTCACAGTTTCAGATCCTGAGCGCAGACCTACACATCATTCATCAGGCCATGCTGTGGAGAAATCCCACAAACAAAAGAGAAGAAGATGGGCATGGATGTTAGCTCAGTGACAATCTTCCTCAAGCAAAAAGAGGAAAATTTGCAAGAGATGCTAGCGCAGGGCCAATCTTCCTCACCAAAAAAAAAAAAAAGTGTCTATAGTTTTTCCATTGGGCACAGCACAAAAGTTTGAGGAAATATTCTTTCAGCATTCAAAAACTATTGCCCCACTAAGTGAATAAGTTACTGACATTATTGATGAATGACTGAAGTTCCAACAAACTTTTTTGTTGCTTCATTGTGTTTTTGTTAATGAAAATAGAAATATCAACCAACATGTACCTTAACAATAGGCAAAAGATATGAATGGACATGTCACCAACGAAGATATATGGGTGGCAAATGAACATATTTAAAAAATGCTCAAAATCATGAGTCATTAGAGAAATGCCAGGAAAAACCACAGAGCTTCTACTGCCGCATGCCTATTAGAACGGCACACGTTAAAAACACAGACCAGAGCAATTACTGGTGAGTATATGGAAGCACTGAAATCTTATTCACTGTTGGGGGAATGCAACACGGTGTAACCACTTTAGAACATGATTTATCAGTTTCCGAAAGTTTTAAATATTCACCTCCCTGTGACAAAGGCATTGCGTTCCTAGATATTAATGCAAGAGGAATGAAAGCACAGGCCCATATGAAGACCTGTACACTCATGGTCATGGTTGCTTAATTTGTAATAGTCAAAAACCCATACCCCATTTAACAGAAGAAAGGGGTTAAAAAAAAAATCACGGTGCATCTGAGTAAGGAATCTGTGCAGAGGGTGGAGTAGGAGGCACCAGGAATTCGTCTCCTCACCCAGACAACAATTGTACTGGCAGAATCTGTCTGATGAAACTATTTTGGAAACCTGGGGTCTATTCAAAGGCTTACAACTTCCAGAGGCAGGCTTAGATACTATTTAATTTTGGTCAATTTCAGCCCTTAGCACTGTAGCAGCTACCCCCTACCCACCGCCCACCTCTTTGCCCTGTGGCAGGCAGCTGTGCGGGTCCCCAGAGCAGCTGGCACGCTCCGTGGGAGCCAGGGTGAGATCCTGCTCTTGCGAGACTGAGGATCTGTGCTCTGACCTGACTGTTGCTTCTCACCACAGAGGTGAAGACACAGAAGTGAGCAGACATTTGTGCAGCCCTCATCCCATTTTTGCGAGCCCCTCCCTTTCCAGCTGAAGCAACTTCCAGGGGATTTAAGGCACCAGCACATTTCTTCCCCTTCATTTTTCTCTTTTCCTCCTTTTGGGAACCAGATATTTAGGACTATGACATCTCCAAAGCGACCATTACAGGGAATTTAGGAAGTCACTGCACATGGAAAGGCACAGGCTCAGAGAAGACCTGAGATGACCTTAAGTTTACACCTCAGGCTGATCCCCAGCAGAGAGAGCTTACGACAAAGAAGAACTAACACTAATCCTTGTCAAAATTTTCCAAAAACTTGAAGAAAAGAGAACACTTCCTAATTTACTTGCCGTGATACCAAAGTCGGGAAAAAATACTACAAGAAAAGTGCAGGAGTTGGCCCCATGGCCGAGGGGTTAATTTCGTGCACTCCACTTCAGCAGCCCAGGGTTCAGATCCTGGGCATGGTCATGGCACCACTCACCAAGCCACGCTGAGGTGGCGTCCCACACAGTACAACCAGAGGCACTCACCACTAGAATATACAACTATGTACTGGGGGGCTTTGGGGAGAAGAAGACAAAAACAAAAAAAAAAAGAAGAAGAAGATTGGCAACAGCTGTTAGCTGGGTGCCAATATTTAAAAACAAAAAGAAAAGTACAAACCAACATTCCTTATGAACACTGATGCAAATACCCTTGACAAAACACCAGCAAACAGGGGGCCGGCCCCATGGCTGAGTGGTTAAGTTCGTGTGCTCTGCTTTGGCAGCCCAGGGTTTCGCTGGCTTGGATCCTGAGTGTGGACATGGCACCACTCATCAGGCCATGCTGAGGCAGCATCCCACATGCCACAACTAGAAGGACCCACAACTAAAAGTATACAAGTATGTACTGAGGGGCTTTGGGAGAAAAAGGAAAAATAAAATCTTCAAAAAAAAAAAAAAAAAAAACACTAGCAAACAGAATTCAGCACCATACTGAAAGGATTAAACACTGTGTTCAAGTGGGATTTATTCCTGGAAGACAAGGATGGTTCAACATATAAAAATCAATCAATGTAATATACCACATTAACAGAACAAAGGGAAAAAAACCACATGATCATCTCAATCGATGCAGAAAAAGCATCTGACAAAATTCAACACCCTTTCATGATAAAAACACTCAACAAACTAGGAATAGAAAGAAACTACCTCAACATAATAAGAGTGATCTATGAAAAACCCACAGCTAACATCATATTCAATGGTGAAAGGCTGAGAGCTTTTCAATCAGAAATAAGGCAAGGATGCCCACTTTCACCACTTCTATTCAACACAGTACTGGAGTTCTAGCCAGAGGAATTAGGCAAGAAAAAGAAATAAAAGGCATCCAAATTGGAAAGGAAGAAGTAAAATTTTCTTTGTTCACAGATATGATCTTATATGTAAAAAACCCTCAAGATTCCACAAAATTACTGTTAGAACTAATGAATGCATTCAACAAAGTAGGATACGAAACCAAAACAGAAAAGTTAGTTGCATTTCTCTACACTAACAATGAACAATCTGAGTAGGAAATTATGATAACAATTCCTTTACAATAGCATCAATAAGAATAGAACACTTAGAAATTAACTTAACCAAGGAGGTGAAAACTTGTACTATAAAATATACAAAACATCAATGAAATAAATTAAAGAAAACAAATAAATGGAAACGTACCCCATGTTCATGGATTGGATGACTGAGTATTATTAAGATGTTGATACTACCCAAAGCAATGTACAGATTTCATGCAATCCCTATCAAAATCCCAATGACACTTTTCTGCAGAAACAGAAGACTCTATCTTAAAATTCATATGGAATCTCAAGGGACCCTGAATAGCTAGAACAATCTTGGAAAAGATCAATGTTGGAGGACTCAAACTTCCCGATTTCAAAACTTACTACAAAGCCACATTAATGAGAACAGTCAGGTACTGACATAAAGAGAGATGTATAGATGAATAGAATAGAACAGAGAGCCCAGAAATAAATCCTCACATATATGGACAAATGATTTTTGACAAGGTGCTAATATTAGTCGATGGGAAAAGTGGATATCCACATGCAAAAGAATGAAGTTGGGCCCTCACCTCACACTGTTTACAACTCAAAATGGACCAAAGACCTCAATGTAAGACCTAAAACTGTAAAACTCTTAGAAGGGAACATAGGGCAAAACCTTCATGACACTGAATTTGTCCATGATTTCTTGGATGTGACACCAAAAGTACAAGCAACAACAAAATTAGATAAGTTGGACCTCATAAAAGTTAAAAATTTTGTGCATCAAAGGACACTATCAACAGAGTAAAAAGGTAACCCACAGAATGGGAGAAAATATCTACAAATCACACATCTGATAAGGAGCTAATATCCAGAATATATAGAGAACTCCTAAAACTCAACAACAAAAACCAAATAACCCAATTCAAAAATGGAGAAAAGATTTGAATAGATATTTCTCTAAAGATGTACAAACGACCAACAAGCACATGACACAATGGTCATCATCAAGAATCATTAGGAAAATACAAATCAAAACCACAATAGGATACCACTTCACACACATCAGGATAGATACTATCCAAAAAAAAAAACAAGTGTTGGTGAGGACGTAGAAAAACTAGAACCCTTAGACACTGTTGGTAGGAATGCAAGGTGGTGCAGCCACTGTGGAAAACAGAATGGAAGTTCCTCAAAAAGTTAAAAATATGATTACCATACGATCCAGTAATTCCACTTCCAAGTATACACCCAAAAGAACAGAAAGCAGGGTCTCAATGAGATATTTGTACATCCACGTACATAGCACTATTTACAATAGCCAAAAAGTGGAAGTAAACCAAGTATCCACTGACAGATGAAGGAATAAGCAAGAAATGGCACATACATACAACTGCATATTATTCAGCCTTAAAGAGGAAGGAAATTCTGACACATGGGACAACATGGATTAGCCTTGAGGACATTAGGTTAAGCGAAATAATACAGTCATAAAAAGACAAATATTACATGATTCCACTTATCTGAGGGACCCAGAGTAGTCAAATTCAAGAGACAGAAAGTGGAATGGTGGTTTCCAGGGGCTTGGGGAGAGGAATGGGAGTTATTATTTAGTTTTATTTATTTATTTATTTAGTTAGTTAGTTATTATTTGAGTTTTACAAGATGAAGAGAGTTCTGGAAATGAATGGTGGTGATGGCCATACAATATGAATGTACTTAATACCACGGAACTGTACACTTAGAGACAGTTAAGATGGTAAATTTTATATTATGGGTATTTCACCAAAAATAAAGCATAAACAAATTGTAGTGGATTCATTCAATAGAGTACTACTCAGCAGTAAAAGGAATGAACTATTCATACACACAGCATGGTTGATTCTCAATAAAATTATGCCACATGAAAGAAAGTAGACCAAAAATAGAGCATAAATACTTTATGATTCCAATTGTATTAAATTCTAGGAAAGGCAAACAAACCCGTAGAGAAAAAAAGGTAAATCAATGGATTCCTTGGGATGTGGCTAAGGGTTTCCTCAAGAAGGCAAGGAGGGATGGTAAAGGGGCACGAGGTAGCTTTATGGGTGATGGAGATGCTCATTATCGTAATTGTGATGCTGGTTCCCTGAGTGTGTACATATTTTAAAACCTACGTTGTACACATCAAATACATATATTCAATTATTGCATGACAATTATATCTCAACAAACCATTAAAAGAAATGGTTGTACATAAAAATCTGATCTCCACCCATTCTAGAAATTACATTTGGCTCTACTCTCTCTCTCTTCATGCCTCGGCAGCCAAGATCTCTGGCTATGGCACTAATGCCACATCCCTGGAGTACGAGATCTACCTTCTCTGTCCCATTCCTCTGCAGCAATGGCCTTGAGGTGAACAGTGCAGTGAGCCTGCAGGAATCTACAAAAACCTTTAGATTATTTGCTCTGCCAGTGACCTTAGTCATAGGACAGAGGTCTGGAGGTCCTGAGAACTTCTACCAAGCCTAAAACCTGCACAGTCACACTCAAGGGAACATTTGTGGATGCACTTTTAGAAGAGGCACATTCCCTCTAGTTTGCTGCAATCTCACCTACTCCCTGTTATCACTCCCAGTGATTCTGCACAAATTACGGTCCCAACTGGGCCCAGTGTCTTACAGTTAAAGACACCTGTAAAGTGGCTATCAGACTTCAAGGCATATCCTCCTTGGCAGGTGCCAGGTAAACTGCTCGACAGTGCTGGGAACATGAGGCCTCCCCTGGAAACAAGGGAACTAATTCATGCTGCTCCCAGATGCACTGGAGGCTGTCACCACTGCCCCTTCCTCAGGGTAATCTCTGACCCACAAAAACCCATGCCATTCAGACCACATTAGGCCCACAAAGCCCTACAATCTTCCCCAGGAAGCCTTGAGTAGCAACACAAATGAGGCCAAATCTGGCCTGAGAGCTGTTCTCTGCCATCCTGCTGCTCCCTCTGAAGCAGGAAATTTGGAGACCCCTTTAGTGTGGTAAACCTTAATTCTGTTCTCATCCCACTCCACACAGTGAGCACAACACAGAAGATTAAAGGTGGCTTTATCAATAAGATCCTTATTATCACCCAAACCAGAGCAATGTAAAGTAGACAATTGTTGGGATGGGTAATGTGGAGGCTGGATGAATCCATGATGAGCACCATATGAAATCAATGATGTCCCTAAAAAGGGAAACCTTCTCTTCCAGCAGACGCCAGCTCAAGGCTTCATGGCCAAAGATGGATCATGTCCGCAGCTAAGCCAGTCATGGGGGAGGGAATGACACCTTCCTACAGCCTCAGGCTACTCGTGATTTCTTCTTGGAAAGAGAGAATGGACGTCTGTCTTCCCTGAGCTCAGGGAGTGGCTGGCACACACTGTGGAGACCTCCTGGTGGGCAGAGCTGAGACAGCTTCTGACACAAACACTAGTAGTAACAAAACTCTGGTGACGCCCACGGTCAGAAAAGGCAACTTCATTCCTGAAAGCTTCCAACATATCTAGCATTGATAGGGAACCTCCCCAGCGTGGATATTTGGATGAACAAGGCTCAACTTCTGGCTGAGGGCTCCCTCATAAGGACTGCTCTCAGAGCTCCTCTCCAATGTGTGTCGTCGTGTCGAAGGAGGGGGGAGCACCTTCTCTGCACTCCTCTCTCTAGTGTGGATTTTCTGATGCCTAATGAGGGTGGGCCTTTGGCTGAAGGCTTTCCCACATTCGTTGCACGTATATGGCCTATCTGGCTTGTGGACTTTCTGGTGCTGCCTCAGATTTGACCTTTGTCTGAAGGTTTTCCCACATTCGAGGCACTCATAAGGCCGTTCACCGGTGTGAAGTCTCCGATGGTTATTGAGGCTGGAGCTTTGGTTAAAAAATTTCCCACATTCAGGGCAGCAATAAGGCCGTTCACCAGTGTGAAGTCTCCGATGGCTGTTGAGGCTGGAGCTTTGGCTAAAGAGTTTCCCACACTCCGTGCACTCATAAGGTCGTTCACCGGTGTGGACCCTCCGATGTTTCATGAGGTCGGAGCTTCGGCTGAAGGCTTTCCCACATTCACTGCACCCAAAAGGCCGTTCACCAGTGTGAACTATCTGATGTTGAATGAGACTGGCAATGTGGCTGAAGAACTTCCCACATTCATTGCACTTATAAGGTCTTTCTCCAGTGTGCACTCGCCAGTGTTTGATCAGGCTGGAGTTGCAGTTGAAGGATTTCCCACATTCACTGCACTCATGGGCGCTCTTCCCGGTATGAACCCTCTTATGATGAATGAGGTTGGAGCGCTGGCTGAAGAACTTGCCACACTCACTGCACTCATAGGGCCTCTCACCAGTGTGAACCCTCTTATGTTGAATGAGGTTGGAGCTTCGGCTGAAGAACTTCCCACATTCACCACACACATGCGGGCTCTCACCTGTGTGAACTCTCTGGTGTTTGATGAGACTGGAGTGTTGGCTGAAGAATTTCCCACATTCGCAGCACTCATAAGGCTTTCCTCTATTGTGATCCCTCTGGTGTTGAGACAAGCCAGCAGCATGGCTAAAGAAGATCCCACATTTGCTGCACTCATACGGCCTTTCTCCAGCGGGAGTTCTCTGGGGCTGCACAAGTGTGGGTTTGTCGCTGAAAGTGTTCCCAAATTCACTGCACTTGCCATGGCTTTGCACGGTGTGAAAATCCCCCACACCTTCCGTGGTCTGTTGTGGCTCCTCCACACAGTGAGTGACCTGGTGCTGGAGAAAGCCAGATCTGGCCACAAAGTCCTCCCCACCCTCTCTGAATGTGAGAGGCTTCTTTGATGTGTCGTCTGTGCAGCTCTTCACGAGCGAGGCCCTGCCTTCCTCCCTTCTGATAGGCTTGTCTACATTCTCCCGCATCTGCTGCTGGGGAAGGTTTGCGTTGGACCTGCACTCTCTTCCATATGCCTCACAGACATACGGTTTCTGCCTGGGATGTGTTGCTTGGTGTTCAGCCAGGTGCGGAATGTCTTTCAAGTGTTGACCACACGTGTCACAGGGGTAGTCCTTCTGGGCAGACAGAGCTGCCTTGGGACTCCCGTTCTGTGACACTCTTTCTACAGAAACACTATGTTCGGAAGGTGATCCCTCACATTCAGTTCCACAGCAAAAATCTGAAAGCAGAGAAATGCTGGTGAAGTTCATGTTAACTTTGACAGAAGGGAACAGCCCCATCACAAAGGCATGTCTGACCCAGGAGTGAGTCCCTGGGATTGTTGGCATGATGAGAAGCCCAGGGTCAGGGTAAGGAATGGTCTGTTCTGCAGTACTGTGCCTGGCAAGATCACAAAACAGGAGGCCTTACGAGGACCAAGGTACAGTCCTGGGCAAAAAGGCAGGATCTACAACTCACTTCTCTATGAAGCCTTTTCAGCAGGGCTCTGGCTGCTGGTAACACACAAGCCCTATGCAGAGGGCTGTGTCCAGGCCCAGGAAAACCTGCTTGCAACTGGGCAGCTGGTGTTCAAGGACCAACAAAGGAAACGGGAGCATCTCACGACATATTAAGTGTATGCCCATGTTGGAGAGTGCTGCGGAGGGAGCTGTGCAAAAAGTGAGCCATGGAGGCCAGAAAGGTGGGGCACAGCCAGGGGCCCCAAGGTGGAGTAGAAATGCCAAGTGGGCAAGGTGTCAAAAATGGAGAGGAAAGGTGGCAGAGACATAGCCATTGGCTTTGGCACCAAAACAATGATGAACGCTAGAAAAGTTGCAGGTATGACCTGAAGACAGTAGTGATGTCACATGGTCCCCCATCTCCCACTTACCAGAACCAGGCCTGCCATACAACCCTCTTGCCATGGCTGAAGTCATGTCCACTCTGTCAGGCACCCAGGGTTCTGCCCCCAGCTCCAGCTGGGCAACCACGTGGGACCTGAAAGATGTAAGCCCTAAGGGAAAGACAGCACAGGTAAGTGGCCAGCACTTCAGGTGAACTAGCCCACGACAGACCAGGAAAGAAAATGAAATATTACGAAAAGAACACACAAGGGAGGCCTGGCAGGAACATCCCTGTGGTCACGGCAAGTAGGAACCACATCAGAGCCCAGAATTCCTGGCAGTCAGACTTCAGGAAACGTTAGCTAAAGGAAGGGAGCAGAACAGAACGGTCAGATCTGGACCATCACCCAGGCTGGGAGGGGCCCAGAAAATGGGACCCATTGGGCTGACTGCCAGACCCCTCGTTCCCAGACCCTTCCCTGCAAGGCCTCAGGGCAGCGGGGGCTGGGGCTGCTCAGGGAGAGGATGGGACTGTGCACACAGCCCAGCCCGGGAGCCCACAGCAGCTGTACAGGAAAGTGGGGAGGGCAGCAGTGCCCAAGTTCTGGCCCTGGGCCGGAAAGAGCCGTCTCTTGGGGAAAGGGGACAGGCAGAGACGAGCTCAGGACACCGGGTGGGTGTAAGGGCCTTACCCAGCGAGGCTATCAGTGCAAAGTTCTCCAGCATCACGTCGCAGTATAGGAGCCTCTGGGCCTCATCAAGGAGCCCCCACTCCTCCTGGGCGAAGTAAATGGTCACGTCTTCAAAGGTCACACAGCCCTGCCATGATGGGGATAGTCCATTCCATGAGCAGCTTCTCTCCTCAGGACTCCCTGTCTGTCCCCTGCTCACCCTCCTCCCGGGCTCCCAACTCAGAGGAGACCCCAGGTGCTGGTTCCAGGGGCGCCTGCTCTGTTCTCATGCCTCCCGTGACCGCTGTCAGCCCACAACATCAACAGCTGGGCAGAGAGACACCAGCCGGGCTCCAAGCCTGAAGCGCAGGGCCCACCCCCTCTCCTGCAGGCCCTCTCCCCTGGTGTCACCAATGTCATGCCTCCCAGATACAAACAAACATGGGCTCAATCTCCCTTTAATCCCCAGGGCCAACAGCTCACCCTCGCTCCCATATGCATCTCACTTTTTGGATTGCACCTTCCTCAAACTCTGAACCTCCCCACTGCATCCCCACTGTCACTGTCCACTCTCCCCATCCCAGCACGTCGCAGCTGTCTCCATGGACCCCACATGTCACTCTGCACATGGCACCCAGAGAATTCCTGGCAAATACAACCACGATCCCATACTGCCCTAGGCCTTGGGTGGCTCTCAGTGCCAAGGGCAACATCCACGGTTGATTTGAAGGTCTCCCCACCTGGCCCTGTTCCTGGCTTCGATCTAAGCCACGCAGAGCCACACCAGCTACCAGACATCCATGGCCCTCTCCCTCTTCCATGCTGCACATTCTGTCCCCTCGTCTGTCACGCTCATTCAAAAGTCAACCCCTCTGGTCCTCCTACCTCCACCCACCCAGGGTCAAGTGGCGCTCTCAGCTGACCCCATTTGCCCCTGAACTAATTCCCCAGCCCAGCTGAGAATCCCCAGGCCCCACCAAGGGTCCCCACAAAGGCCTGGTGAGAACGCAGAGAGGTGACTAAGCACCAGCCCAGCCTCAGTGTAACATCACCTCCATTTCCACCAAGCCTCAGCATCCCTCTCGTATCTACGCCCCCAGGAAAATGTGGCCCCTGCCAGACCCCCTATTCCCTACACACAGCCCCTGCCCCACCACAACTACTCTTCCATCTGTCTTTATGATGCCAAACAAGCCAAGCACGGTGCGCGAGCAAGACAGCCCCTTCTCACCCCAGGCCCCATCTTCTTCCTTCCCCCCAACATCACTGCCACCAGGACCTGGAGCTTGCCCCCCCCCCCCCCCCCCCCAGATCTGACACACTGCTACACCCTGTACACACGCCAGATGCCACATACTGGATCCTTCTAACTGTGGAAATAAACGAAAACCAACCAAATGAGAAAAGGAGGGGTTATTTATTCAGAGCTCGCTCTAGCAAGGGAGTCAGCCGCCGTCACTTATGTTCTGGCAGAGGAGCAAAGGCAGGCAGAGGAGTGGGAAAGCTATATAGGGGGACAAAGGGAGGCTGCCAGCCGGTGGGAGCTGCAGGCAGGAGACCTGGAAGCGGGGGCATCCTGTGTGACTGGCTGGGGGGCACGTTCGGCTTTCTCTGCTTGGTCCCAAGTTGGAAGCAAGAACAAAAATTAAAGCAGCTGTCGGTTATGAATCAAGCTCTGGTGGTTTGGGGTCAGCTGTGACAGCAGTCATTGTTTAACTTCCTGGACTGTCACGAGAGACAGCAATCCGGCTTCCTGCGAGTCTGCCTCCCAGAGGCCAGCTTCCTGGCTGTTTGCTGAAGATAAGCACGCTGGTTTCCTGGGCAGGCTGCTGCAGGTTGTGGGCCAGAGTGCTATTTTTATATATGGTCTGGCCGCTGCCCCTTTGCGTATCCAGTCTCTCCTAACCTTAACCGAAGCCGCCCAGCACCCGTAACTGCGTGTCTAGCTGCCTACTCTCCAGCCCCACTCAGGGCTCTTGCACCTCAGCGCTCAACATGGCCAAAACCTAACTTCGGCTTTTCCACCGAAAATGCCTCTACAACCAGCTTCCCTGCTCAGGTGATGCTCATCCACCCTTCCAGCCGCTAAGGCCAAAAACCGCGCAGGCATCCCTTCTTTTGCTGGCCCTCCACATCAGAAAGTCTGGTCAACTCGACTTAAAAGGGCACCCCAAAATCCGACCACTTCCACCCCCAGCCACCTGCACTACTCACGGACTATTGCAGTAGCCCACTCTTTGGTCTCCCCGCCTCCCCCTCCCCCTCCAGGCAGTTTTCCACGCTGCAGCCGTGGGGAGCCCGTTAAGACCTGAGTCAGATCATCTTCCTCCCCTGCTCTAAACCTTCTATGGCTCCTAAGGCGCTCAGAATAGAGGCCCAGCTCCCCGGGCCGCCGTTCCAGGGCTGACTTGCTCTCTAAACACTCCCAGCTCACTCCCACCGCCCGGCATTTGCACATGCTGGTTCCTGCGCCTAGGAAACCCTTTCTCCCCGCCTCCCGCTGGGTTTCAGAAATGGAACGGCTCTATATAATTCCTGGCGTGGATTCAGGACCCCAGGTGGGAGTGGCTCCCCTCCAGGGCGCCCAGACTCAAAAGCAGAGAGACGGGAAAGGCAGAAAGTCGGACAGCACCGCCCATCTTTTATCCCTTGGCGCCAGGCACCGGAGGACGCGGGTGTGAGCGGCTGAGGGCCTGAAACCCCTCCACTCACCTGCGCCGGCTCCGTCCGCGCCGCCGCCGCCATCCGAGCCTGTGCGCGCAGCGGGCAGCAGGCGGGGGACCCGGGCGGGCACCTTGCCTGGCCCTGGGCGCGCTGCGGCCCCTCCCAGCCTCAGTCTCCCGGTGTGAAAGGCGCGCGGGGCCCGGGGCGCCGCCTGTGCGGCCGCGGAGCGCCCCGGGGGGTCACGGCTCGGGCAGGGCGCGGGAGGGTCCGCCCGGCCCCAGGGCTGGGGCGCAGATCGGCCCGGGAAACGACTTGCTGGAGCGAAAGGCAGGAAGTTCCGGCCCCCACCTCCCCGGCCCTAAGGACCGCCGCTCTCCCGGGCCGCCATTGGCCCGGCGCCAGGCGGTGACGCTCAGGCACGGCCTCCGGGATCGGCTGTTTGCGGTCCTGCGTCCGGCCGGGCGGCGGGGGCGGCGGGCGGACCCCCTCGGCTTTCCGGGACTTGGCTGAGCTGCACCGCGAGCTTTTCCTCTTACAGGGGCCGTCCCCAGACTCGTGTGACCGCCTGGGGCCCTCGGAGCTCTGTCAGAGGCCCGTGTCTGCCTGTGTGGGCGCAGGCGAGCCCCTTCCCCTCGCAGACTCTCAGGGACCCAGATGCGCGTGAAAAATAAAGATACTACCTCATGGCGGGGTCTTTGTGTACTAACGTGAAAGTTGCTCTAATTCGGTGCTTCTGACAAATAGAAATGGCAAGCAATAGGATATATTGGAGTATATGAGGAAGCCATTTGGTGTAAACCTAATTCGGCCTGACCTTGTCTTTCCAAAAGGGTCTGACCGTGGCGGTTAAGCATGCATTGTCTATCTGCTTTAGATATTCCCTATGGCGAGAACAAAGGCCCTTGAGATAAAGGTGCAACTTCCCTCCCCCTCCCAACGTTGGCATTTCATTAAAGCTCAAGCATCTTTCCTTAGGCTAGGAACTGATTGCTGCGCTCACCTGTGACCACCCAGCCCGACACAACAGACTTGCTTCCTGCTGCGCCGCGCCACCCGCCCCCCCACCCCAGATAGCAGACCCACTACCTGCTGTGTCCCTCAAGCACCGTGCCAAGAGGGCAATCCTGTGACTATTGTGGGAGGGACATCAAATGTAATCAATCATATGTAAAGCATCCTCTTTGGGGGGATGTAATCACTTTGTGTACCTCACTTCTTTGGTGCCCTTTCTTCCTTCGGAAAGAAAGGCCGTGGGCCATGGTCCTCACATTTTAGCTCAGAATAAACTCTCCCAAATTTTCATTTATAGATTGGTTATGGATTATTTTCGTCGACATTTCTAACCAGTAACATCAGCATCCCCCAGGGATTTGTTAAAAATGCAAGTTCCTGGGCAACCACCCAAACCTAGGGACTCGGAAATTCTGAGGGTGGGGCCCAGTCTTCTGTGTGTCAGCAAGCCCACCAGGGGACCCCAATTTGAGAAAAGGGACTCATTAGAATCCAGTAAATAAAATGGGAAAAATAACGCTACAGATCTCATGGTAGGTAACAGGGCCTGGCAGAGAGTTGGGCTCAACAGTTAAGAGCATTGTTATGAGCATCACACCCTGACGTGGGGGGCAGGTCAGAGACGCCTCTGCAGGGGCATACGGGAGACCATCAACATATAAACTACAACAACTCTCTAAGTGAAAAAGTAGCCTCATAGGAGATGATGGTTTTTACATGAAAGCACACCTTTCACCATTTGGCTCCGTTATTTTGTTTTATTTATTTTTTAATTTAATTTTATTTTATTCTTAAAAACACATCATGCAGGAGAGTTACATACAATACAGGTAGGCCTATTGCCCAGAGGATGGATTCTTACAGGCCACGTGATTCAACATTGCGAAGCACCAGATTAAGTGGCAGGCATAAGTGGACAGTGGAGCTGACATGGATCCAAATTTGTGACATGATGACATGGCACTACTCATCTCTAATTCTCAGACAGTAAAGAAAAAATTATTCAAGATACCTGTTAAAGAAGTTTATTCAGGGGCGCTGAATAAAGGGATAGGTTTGGGGCCCACTGCAACAGGAGCTTGCAGTGAAAGAGGGATTGGGAGCAACTCCAAACCCAGCCAAGAAGAGTAGGGGTTCATCGCCAAGGAGCAGGTAGGGGTCAGAGGAAACATCAAGGGTGAGGGGGGTTCTGGCTAAACGCACCTAATAGGATTCTTGCTGAAGGCAGGCCAGGGGGATCAGGAGTTGCCTGAGGGCTGGTGGAGGGTAAGGAACTGGATCAGTCATCAAGAGTTGTGAAAAGGGGGGGTTGTTGCGAAACTGACTCAACAGGATTCTTGCTAAAATCAGACAATGCAGAGAGGAACATGGAAATCAGAAAGTCAGGGCCTAGTTGAGAAGAGAGTTCAGAAGAGCCTGGCTAGAGGTTTGCCAAGGAGAGACTCTGTCACGGGAATCAAAACCTCGCCCTCTCCCAACTCCCCGGTGGCATTCAGAGCAACCAGATCTGGGTACAAATACGTGATCACCAGACATCCCAGCTTGATGTCCGTTGGCTGGAAGTTACCAGGCCTTGTCCCCATCGAGACTTAATCAGCCCACCGCCTGAGCCTGCAGCCCATGGAGGACACTCCATCTGAGTGGGTGGGAAACTGGAGGTGCCAGGAGGCCATCCTAGGAAGAGGTGCAAAATGAGAAGGCATAAAGAAGACACAGCTTCACAATCACGTCTGTCCATTTTTCATTGCCCCAAGCTCATTTACACGGTCCAGATTTAACAGAAGAGAAGCTGGGTGTACAGAAAAAGAAAAAGGGCTGATGAGCACATTGCTGGTTTCAAGAACCATCCATCAGTTTGGCAACCAAACACCCATTTTTCATTCTTCTTGCACATTCAGCCTCTCAGCCCCTCTTTTATCTGACTACCCCAAACCTATCCCGTCACTGCCTCAGTCTCTGTCTTAGTATTGTAGGGGAGGAAGACATTTCGTCTTCCCAAATGTGGGTTCGTCTGGCCAGAGAACGAATTAAATTCACATGAGACAGAATAGCAAGAGAAAATTAAACAAAGCTTTATGAGGAACCATGGCCCGGGGCCTTTTTTCCCAAAGGAAGAAAGGGCACCGAAGAAGTGGGGTGCACAGAGTGGTTATATACCCCCAAACAAGGTGTTTCACATGTGATTGAAATGTCCCTCCCACAATAGTCACAAGATTGCCCTGTCAGCACAGTGCTTGATGGACACAGCAGGTAACGGTCTGCTGTCTCGGTGGGCGTAGCAGGAGGCAAGTCTGTCTGGAGCTGGGCGGTCACAGGTGAGCGCAGCAAGCAGTTCCTTGCCTAAGGAAAGATGCTTAATCTTTAAGGAAATGCCAACGTTGGGAGGGGGAGGGAAGTCAGTTACAGGAGGTTACCAGACAAGCACAATAAAATGCGGATTTAAGTCCTTGCCTTTGGTATTGCTTAAGAGTTTCTAGAGAGAAGGTCATCTCCTTTCTTCTTCCTGGTACAGAGAGAGAGGCACATTTTACAGATAGAGATTTACCTTACAAATGTAAATGTGTCCTAACGAAGGGCAAGTTCCATTCCTCAGAGCCTCCTTCCCTGTCCCAGTTTATCAAAAGCAATCAGCCTCAAATAATCCTGATGCCAAAGAGACACATCTTGGGGTGGCCAATTTCAGGTCCCTACAGTGTTTATGCTCCTAACTCAACCCAAGATCAGGAGACTCTAAACAAAATACGTAACTTGTCACCACTCACTCCCAACTTACCGTCATGACTCAGGAGCACAGTGACGGGACCTATTCAAACTGCTGAAGAAATTACTGGCAAGCTTGATTTCTATACATAGCAAAAGTGTCTTTCAAGAACAACCAAAAAAAAGAGATAAAGTTATTTCAAGCCCAAAATGAAAAAACTTAATAGAAAATTAACCTGCATAAAATGCAATTCTAAAGATTATATTTAAGAACAATGAAAGTGATTCCAGGTGGAAACGCTGCGATGATAGTGTAGGGACCTGAAATTGGCCACTGCAGAAATCAAGACAGGGTGGTACTGGCAAAAGAATAGACAAATAGATCAATGTAACGGATCTACTGATCTGAGAATAGAGAGCTCAGAAATGGACCCACACAAATTTAGTTAAGTGATTTTTGACAAACGAGCAAAGGCAATTCAATGGAGAAAGGATAATCTTTTCAACAAACGGTGCTGGAACAACTGGACATCAACACGCAAAAAAATAAATCTAGACACAGACCTTACATCCTCCATAAAAAAATTAACTCAAAATGGACCACAGACCCAAATTTACAACACAGAGCTACAAAACTCATAGAAGATAACACAGGAGAAAATCTAAATGAACTTGTTTTGGGCCATGACTTTTTATATACACCACCAAAGGCATGATCCATGAAAAAAATTGATAAATGGACTTCGTTAATGTCCATAGGATCAGTAGTAAATGGTCTCTCTCTTATTTCTGATATTAGTAATTTGTGTCTTCCTTTTTTTTTTAGCTTGTTGGTGTTATGGACTGAAATGTGCCCCCCGCCCCTCCAAATTTGTATGTTGGATCCCTAACCCCCAATGTGACTGTATTTGGAGATGGGACCTTCAGGGAGATACTTACAGTTAAATGAGGTCATAAGCGTGAGGACCTAATCTGATAGGACCAGGGTCCTTATTAGCAGAGGAAGAGACATCAGAGACAACTCTTTCCACACACACACAGAGACCACATGAGGGCACAGCAAGAAGGCAGCTACCTACAGGCCACCAGAATCCAAGCCTGACAGCACCTGGATCTTAGACTTCTAGCCTCCAGAACTGTAAGAAAATAAATCCCGCTGTTTAGGGCACCCAGTCTGTGTTCCTTTGTTATGGCAACGCTGGCAGACTGATATAGTTTGCCTGGCTAGAGTTATCAATTTTATTAATTCTTTCAAAGAACCAGCTTTTGGTTTTGTTGATTCTATTAATTTTTTGTTTTCGTTTTCACTGATTTCTCTTCTAATTTTTATTACTTTTTTCTTCTGCTTACTTTGTTCTTTTTTTTCCCTAGTTTCCTAAGGTGGAAGCTATATTACTGATTTTTAAATATTTTTCTTTTCTAATCTATGTATTCAATGCCATAAATTTCCCTGTAAGCATTGCTTTCACTGCATCCCACAAATTTTGATGTTATATTTGTATTTTGATTTAGTTCAAAATATTTTTTTATTTCTCTTGAGACTCCTTTTGAATCTACATGTTATTTAAAAGTGTGCTCTGTAATCTCTAAGTATTTGAGGATTTTCCAGTGATCGCTCTGTCGTTGACTTTGAGTTTAATTCTATTGTTGTCTGAGGGCAGACAGTGTATGCTTTCTATTTTTTTTAATTTTTAGGTTCTGTTTTATGGCCCAGGATGTGGTGTGTCTTGGTTCCATGTGAGCTTGAAAAGAATATGTATTCTGCTCGTGATGTTTTTTCTGGGATTAACGTGATTTATTTCAGTATCAGTCTTAAAAGTTGCTGAGTTTGGGCAAAGCCAGCATGGTTGATAGTGTGTACCTCTAATTCCAATGCGTGTTTTCCAACACCACCAAGCAATTCTCCAGTTCTCAGCAGACACTGATTGGGTGTCCTACAAATTTAACTCAATGCTGACGCCATCTGCCTGGAGATAGCATCAGGTCCCACAGGTTAAGGGCTCGGTC